GAACCATGTTGGCAATTGAAGACCAGATATGGTCTTGATTATTTCAATAATTGAGAGCTTTGCAAATTCTTTTCAAAGAACAGTGCAGTGTGAATTTAAAATTCAATCCAGCTTAGAAGGGTTATATATTAAGTTTAAATACCACAAGTTTACAAGACTAAAAATAGTAAATGCGACCATTTCTCTTCACAGCAATTACATTTCCATTACATCTTTAAATCATTATGTTTTAAAATGATCATTTATTCATTTAGATGGCACTTTTCAGCAGTACAGTACCAAAGTGTTTTATGTGGAGTATACCTAAAGTATAAATTATTCAAGTGTGATGTGCTACTGACAGAGCCGGAGCAAAAGGAATAGAAAATATATACAGTGGCAGTATTAACTGTAATTGGAGATGGGCACACAAGTTCAACTGGAGTTAAAATGGCCTGAAATTTCACCTTAAGTTTAACAATCTGGAGATGTTTTCATATTAAAAATTGTTCACCAACTTCCTTCCTTTCACTAATTATTTTTAAGTTGCACCACCCATGCATTTCTTTGTCAGGATCTAAAGTTAAATATAATAAATATAATAGCATAACCAATTTCTTTTCATGGCTTTTATTCCATTGATCTTCAAGCACTTTTACAAAGAAGGTCAGTATAGTTATTCCCATTTTATAGATGGGGAAACTGAGGCATGGGAAAGGAAGTGACTTGCACAAGGTCACCCAGCAGGCCAGAGCTAGGAATTCAACTCAGGTCTCCAGAGTGGTAAACCAGTACCTTTTCTACTAGGTCCACCTGCTTTCTGAAGGTGACAAACTGATAAAAGTCCTGATCTAAAGCCCCCTGAAATCTTTCTGTTGACTTCATTAAACTTTGGCCCCATGAAAAAGGCTGCCTTAATGGTATTTCTAGTCTAACAGGAAGCAGAAAGTGTTCAGGTTTTTTTGAGCACTTCCACAAAAGTGACCTAAATAAGTATTTGCACTTTGTAGTGCTTACAGAACCAAACCTCTGAGCACTTTGAGGTTCACCCATCACAGATAAGAAATCATAAAAGTGAAAAATGTTGAGTTTACACTTAAATTCAGCTCAACTGAATTAACAATACAAACTCTTTATCATGTATTGTGAGTCCTCTGGTCTAGAATGCAATTGCATTTTCCAGTTTCACTTCATGGAAACTATAGCATTTAAAAATCCCTTTTGAAGATTCATTGGTGTCAGCTAATTAAATACAAGCATTTTTCACATAATGCTTGATTAAATGAACACCTTTCTGCATGCAAAAATTTCACTTGCTAGGGAGTTGTTTGCCCTTTTTGCCTTGAAGTTTTCAGTCACAATCTTAGTAAATTTCTGTCCAAAGCAGTGGAGGCTGTTTTATAATGAGAAATAAAAATTACAGGTGATGTATCTTATTTTTGTTATACTCCTGTTTAAAAAGTTTCAATCATCCTACCAAGGAGCAGAAATTATAACTTGGCTGATCTATAAACATACTATGCACAGGCACACAGATACCATAAACAATGAATAACAAGTACTCAAAGTGAACAGCTCACAAGTTGAAAATTGTTTGTCCAAATATTTAGCAAATATTTATGAATAGCATATAGATCTGCAGACCTCAGCAGAGGTTTTTGAATGATTAAGTAACACATAGGTTTAATATAGTCAGATATGCCATTAGAACAAATAAATCAACCAGCTCATCTTTAATGTTACTAGTAAATAATATGGTAGCAGTAAGCATCTCCTTAAGGTAGATACTATGTAGACATATTATAGTATTTCTTAACCGATAGCTAAATCTTCATTTAACAAAGAAAATGATATAATTGGACAAGCTTAATACACTAAATATATTGTATGAATACCATAGTTATAGTATCTGTAAAGCTTTGTAAAGAGCAGTTAGCTCAAGCAACATTACATTGCAAAAACAATTCTTTGGAAGGCAAATTAAAATGTCTCTCAGCTCTTTCTATACAAAGGGGGTAATCTTTTTTTACACTGAACCAGCGTGAGCACCATGCCTGGTTCCCTTTGTGTAAATCAATATATTTACTGTGTATTCTTGGGGGGGAACCCCAGACATTTACTTTACAGTGAAGCTTAATGTTAACAAGTTATACCCTATCTAGTCAGCATCAGCACAAAATTATAGAATAATATTTCAGGTGTTAAGTAAAAAATGGACACAGTGAGGGATTTTAACAGCCTGATCATTTATTTTTGAATATGATGTTTTTCTCTGCCTAGGTCTTGACTGCTCTGGGTCTTAGTCATTTAAATGGAGAGTTGTCATTTCACATACTTTATATTTCCTTTATTATGATTATGGTACAACATTATAGCTGCCATGAAAATATGTAGTTGCTTGTCAGCCTTCAAAAAGAGTTATGGGGACTGTAGAATTGTTTCAGTGGCTTATCTTCAATTTCAAAGGCTTAGAACCATTTCTTCTTTGGATGTTTATGAAGCTCTCTGACATTTTCTTAATTCTTCTGTGCCTCCCCGCATCTTTCTTCATATCAGTCTTTCCTCTCATTCCAGTACAACCAAAACCATTTCCCTTCTGAGTCCATTTCATCCTTTACCCAACTCCTGTGACTTGATTCTTTGCCTCCAAGTACAGATAAGACTCTGGCTACTCTCCCCTCTCATACTAGTATTTTCATTCTCCTTCTTTCTGATGCTCCTCTTTCCATGCTCTTCCCATTGTTAGGCCAGCATTTATCCCACACGTCATCCAAGTTTTAGCCAACCTCCCAAAAGCACCTCAACACTTATGGCAATCTTCCAAATTCCTTGCAAATTCTCAGTAGTCTGGTCATTAGAACGGAGTGAAAAGTGGATTTTTTTTTTTCAGTTTGGGCGGGAGGAATGAGCCAAAAATCCAGTTCGGAGCAAACTTAAAACCTTCAAAATGAAAACTGGGGGGGGAGGGAAGCAGGTAACTTGAGTTGACCTGAAAATTTTCAGGTTGATACAAAATGGATTTTTTTCAGGTTTTTGTTTAATTTTGAGTTAATTCAAAACTTTTGTAAAAATTTGTTTCAAAGGGCCACTTTGAACCCCCCCTTTTTAATATGTCAAATGTCCATTCAAAATACCATTTCTAATTGAAAACTAGAAACAGAATATTTCTACTTTCAAAACAAAACATTTTTTGACCCTTTCCAAAATAATTAACTGAAACCTTTCACTAGTTGTTTTCCTGAATTAAATAAATAGGTTTCAGCACCTGAAAATGCTGCTGATGAAAAATTGTTATTTCTCCAAAAAACCCAACTTTGCTCAACGCTACTCCTAATCTAGGTACAAGCACATGGTACCACTTGTCAAATCTCAACAACAACATGGCTGTCACCTCTCAATACTTGGAAGGGAGGCTCCAAAGGAAAGCCTCAGAGAACTGAAGGAAGGTAAAGTCATGTGAGCCATTCTCCCAGTACAGGTTTGGGAGGTGCTGTGTTGCCTGACATGACACTTTGAATGAGATGTAAAACTTGGGTCATGACCTTTCCTAATAATCACATATTCCATAATACTTTTTACAACAGTAGGGGTGCTGCACTCAAGTTTCACTTAGGAAGGCAGAATGTACTTATTCAAACATTCTTCTTGTAGTTGCAGTTTGGTACTATATCCCTCTTCACTTCCTGTGCTAAATAAACTGTTGGGTAATGTGGCTGTGTATTTTAAACAGCTGCTGTGATCCACCCCAGAGATGGAGCATTTCACTGGTGAGTTAAGTAATGGGGGGAAAATTAACTACAAGCATAACCAATTTGTCCTTCCCGAAATGTTTTTAAAATCAGCATCTGGTTTACCGCTAAGGACGAGAGCTCCAAATGCAAAGCACTGCTAGTGAGAAAGTTGTATCACTTTTTTCCCCCTGGAGATATGAGTCGTCCACTAATTGTTGTTACAAGGTTGTAGAAAGGAGATGATTTGCTGACAATATTTTTGTTAAACAAACAAGCACCAAAATCTTTTATTTTAAAGGCATATAATAATTGCATGGAATGGTCAGAATTGAGGTGCTGAACCGCCCCCTCCCCACCCCAACATCAAAAATGTGCACTGACGGCAGAACAACCCCCACTGCTCCTAGAATGAGAACATATTTTCCCTAGAATAATGCAACTCCGCTGACTTGTTTTTGATCAGAAATCTTGGAAGATTTAAGGTGGGAAGAATGAGAATACAGCCTGAGCTCCCCCAACATGATTATTGTGAGGTTAGCTGCAGCCTATTTGCCAGACAGCTGCAAGATCACAGGTTCATTGGAAGTTAGATAACATGACTTTACCTTCTGAGGCCCAGGTGTGGCTAAGGGTGGGGGGGAGGGCAGGAGTCCTTAAGAAAGTCAGGGTTGGAAATGTTATCTGAGAAATAAATCTGAGTAGCCTAAGCCTAGCTGGTGGTATGCACATCATAAACATTCATATAGTCCGTTCTGCCATTTAAATGGAAAAGAGGGAAAATGTGCTGCAGATGCAGAGTCCAAACAATGGAAATGATTTCTGATGATGAAAAGTGGTGATCCCGCCTAGATCGCTCATTGTAAGTTATTGTCTGTTACTTCTGTGGCACTGCATGTTTTGGCACAAACATAAGAGGATTTACCCACTGGAGTGGCCAGGAGACTCTTAACTTCTGTGACACCAATAAAATTGTGTGGAGAGCACAATAGGTTTCTTCTCCCCATTAGCAATATTTTTTAAAAGCTTACAAATGCTGCAGTTGGAAGCTTTGTCCTTTCTTGATATTGATTTAAACTCTTTCTATTACTGTTTATGGCTGCCTGCTGGTTTACAGCCATGTTACACTCAAAGTATTAGAGCAGTAGAAATGAAAAGCACTCTTCTCAGAACTGTGATGTCCAGTATCTGGTTGAACAAGGTTTGTTTGTTTGTGTATTTATTTATTTATTTATTTATTTATTTTTTGTGGTGGAGTCCTATTTTTACATATTAAGGAAAAATACTGTATTTGGATCTGGTACTAAGACCGAAGATCCCAGTGAAATAATGCTAGAAGGTTCTGAGTTCAGGCATGGTTAGAATAAGATTCTGTCTGAGTCTCTGTGGTCCTCACACTCTGAAAGGCTCTGTCATGAAATCTCTATTCTCAGCATATTGCTGGTGCTTTCTGTCACAATCCAGAAGTGGAAACCGAACACAGTAGGGCAGAGGCATGAAAATTTCTATGCTGCTTCAAACATCCTGGTGTGTCTGTAGTACTTTCTTTTGTAAATAAGGCGTATGTTATGAGGGTTAGTTTACATTTGACAGAGAGGGACGCATCTTCTTCTCTTGTCTGTAAGAAACCTGTTTGCCAGCTCTGCCTTAATACAGACTTATTGGGAACATATTCCCAGAGTATATACGTACCTCTTTCCATGGTAGTGGTGCATACCTCTCACAGCGATTTAAGAAGATCTGTATGGTATAAGCTTTTGTTCAATACCTTACAAGACACCATTTGGACAAATACAATGAAAACAGTGTATTGGGTGTAGTGAGTTTGTCAGGCCTGATAGAATTTGTTGACACAGGGTAGTGAACCCTTTGCTAGCTGACTGCAATAGGTCTGTGTCACATTTTCACAGCTTATACAAGGTCAAACTGTGGCCTGGCTTTTGTGGCCATGGAGGACAATAAGGAGGCATCTGGTATTTCCTTAGCACCGCAAAACATCAATAGCCAGTGTACAGGGATATGTATGAAGAAAAGTTGCCTTCATGACATCTGTACATTCTTCCCTGCTTGTCTATAAGAGTAAGTGGGAGGTGGGGAGAAGGGTCAGGGCCTTGGCTCCACTTCAACCAGGCACAGACCTGATGCAGGGTAGCTACTGCCCCTGGAGCAACAGGAAACTGGGAGACTAACAAGAGTTTCAGTCTGGCTCCTGGGGCTTGTGGCAAAGTCCTAATTTAGCCCAAAACAATGCAAACTGATCTTTGTAAGCTATGAAAAACAGTTTTGTTTTTTATTTTTTTCTTCCCCAAAGTAGTATTTTTAGGACTTTAAGGCAAGGAGATATATTTGTAATTTTATTTATTTATTTTCTGATGTTGGGGGATATAAATGAATTTTTCAAAATAAGTCTCTTTTAGGTGTGATACTGAAATCTCACAAATTTTGATTTGCAATCAAAGCAGGCTGCTCAACAGCAGAAATTTATGCATCTTATTTATCAGCTCTTGGGGATAATATTCTGCTCCTTGGTATATTAGTAATTTGTTTCTGAACAGAAGTCTGAGATGGAACTCCTGACTCCCGGCCCCTGTTCTAACTAATATTTTATATCGCCTTCCTCTCACATCCACTCCTGAATGCAAACATGCCAAAAGATCAAAAGCCATGGATATTTTTAAAATTAAAATCATGGAGTCCAGGATGCCTATAACAGTCTAGGACTGAAGTCTGGATTCAAGCATAGCCAAAGAAAAATCAAAAGACAGTATTGTGTAACCAGCTGTCTTTTTTGGCCAGTGAGTCTGAGGGTTCAGATCATGTGGCCTGTCTCTATTTTCTTATTTTTACAAAATATTTTACAAAACTATTTCCAAAACAGTGCAACAGAATTTAAGTATAATATGGTTTATGGAAGTAAGGAATTTCCGTGCCCTTTAAAGCAACCAATCTCTGGTGTACAATATTCTGAAGGCTCAACATAAAATAACCAGAGAACTCTTTCTAGTGTAACCCTATCTTCTGAACCCTGTCCCTGCTTGAATCCTACTGAGGGAATCATTTCTCAAGTGTCAGATTTATAGTAGATACTGTGATTATTTTTCCCTCTGGGCAAATAAATTATAATGCATGTTTTTTTCATAAATTAAGGCACATAACAAAATATGTAATCACTCATTAGATAAGTGACTAACAGTTCCTTCAAAGATACTTTAAGAGCTCTGATAAATAATACATGTAAGTAACAAAGTGCATATATTATACATTCTAAAACCTATATTGAGCCAAGTTAATGCTTTTTGATGATTTACATACTAGGTATTTTATTAGTTTGGGAAGGTTTTTTCTTCGATGTTAGCTATATATTTAATAGTTATGGGCAAATATTAAGTTTGGAGGTGCAATTCAGAAAAGCAACCAAGTCCCTGATCCTTGAAAATGCTCCACGTGGCTCCATCTGTCTGGAGCAATTTGAAGGAGATGGGCACAAGTTTGGATGCTTACCCAAAGATTCTCAGAAGGATTTGAACCTTATAGGTCTACCAAAGTTGGGTGTAAATCTCAGAAAAAACAAGCTATTTTATAAGATTTCCAGGATTTATTTAGACAGGGCCAGGGGGAGGCAGAATTAGCATGAGAAGAAGCTTTCTGGAAATATTTCAATTTTGTGGTCTTAGCTGGAAACCAAAGCGCAGAGGTGTATAAAGCTGAGCAACAAGTGGAGGGGCATCATTAACAGAAGTTTTACAGTGCCTCCAAAAAGTTTCAGCTGGGAATGAAATCAAGCGGTAGGGATTCTTGGTTTTATTTTGGGAAAGGGAAAGACTTCCTACAAATGTTCACCTAGCCCTAATATTTTCATGAATATTCCACCAATCATTTTACCTTGGAGTAGGTGGATAATTTACCTTGCATTAATGTTGAAAGAACACTAGGAATTGAAATTTCAGTTAGATCAAAATAGTATTACATAAACAGCACTAAAAGTCTGTGTTAAACTAACATTTGTCTAGAAAATCCAAGTCTAGAATGTTCTCAGTTACACAAGTGTAAATGTAGAGTACTCTGCCTTCACTGCGTGGCCATCTATGTGGATCAAGTGCTCCTAATACCCGGCACAAGTGGTGTGGAGATGCTTTGTTCACTACGCCAGCAGACAGGAATCCTGAAATTCGGTACCTCTAACAGTACAGGATTCGAGGTAGTGGAGGTATGTATCAGCATAAGTTGCTGTGTGGGCTGGATTGCCTGGCTAGAAGATGCTCACAAATAAAGCCACACTGATGCAGTGTTACTTTAACAGTGCTTTTCTCTCACTCCCCAAGTTTTTTACTTTCAGAGAAAATATCATTCAAAGTTTGAGCCTTGACAACTTTTGACCCTTACCAGTAATTCAACTCTTAACATGTCATTTGCTTATGGAGATTAAATGTTTGGCTGTTTCACCTCAGAAACTTGCAAAAAGATGTGGAGGCCCATTACCCTTGCATCTCACCACTACTTTTTTGTTTGTTTTTGTTTAGGAACAGTCCTTTGTTGATTAAAGGAATGTGTGAGGTGATCTCAAAGGGGTAAGGCACATCTCTCACCTATCACCATAGTAGTTTAGCATCATCCTTTCATTCAATCCCCACTCCTTCAGGTTTATAATAAAGTACAGGTGACATTGACTTGGTGATCATAAACTGAGCACCTAGTAGAGAGTGCTTTGAATCAAAACAATGGTCTAGGCACAATCTGTTTCAATTTATAGACTCCAATTCAGATGAGCTCTTTCAGGGAAATAGCAAGATGTTGAGTGAGCTCAAAATAATAATGGTGAAATTATCTACATATTTATGAGCCCGGTAGAGAAAGTTACTCTCCCTGTTTTATTTTGTCTGTGCAATTCACTGCAGAAAGATTTCTGATTCCTTATGGGAAACTACAGTTCGTGCCAACCACGAAATTGACGGGAAATGTGTATATGTGTGAGCATGTGTCCTCTGAGGTTTACAGTAGTTCCTATTTCTAGGGAAACCATTCCCTTTTTCCATTCATGTTCAGAATTGCTGACTCAGTCAGATGTTGGCTCCAGCAGAGACCATGTGGTAGGGAAAGAAAAAGCTAATAATGAATACACCTAAAAAATGTTAAGGAAAAACTAAAATGAGACCCAGTCAGGAAGCAGCGAAGAGAGATGGAAGATTAAAAATGTTAATGATTATGGAATGATTCAATATTCACAATATTTGCCTGGGACCTTGCTATATTCTAACAATGTAATCTGTAACTAATTAGCTAAATATAAGGGGTTAGATCATCAGCAGGTATAAATCAGCATAGCTTCATGGACTTCAGTGGAGGTCTAGTGATTTATACCAACTCCAGAACTGCTGCTAAGAATCTTAATTTCATTGGGCCTTGTTCTCTCTCAGTAGAAGAGCATCAAATTAAAAATAGAGCACATCAGTTTATTATAGTCAGTCTATAACAACATAAGTCTGAACATATTCTCTTCCTGTGGTGCCATTTTTAATTTCTCTGAGAAGCAGGAAGAGATAAAGTAAATCCAGGGCAACATCTCCTAAAGCACAGTTGATGCACTGCAGGATATGGGCAACTCCCTTTAATAATCAGTAAATTATGATGGGAGAATTGAGCTCCAGGAAAGTAGACTCTGAATTTGAGGCCACAACGGACCATGATGATCTGGTCTGACCTCCTGCACATCTCAGGCCACAGAATCTCACCCATCCAATCCTATAATTGACCCATAACCTCTGGCTGAGTTACTGAAATAATGAAATCATGATTTCAAGATGCAAACTTGGAGACTCCATCATTTATTCTAGTTTAAACCTGCAAGTGACCCAGGTCCCATGC